CCCGAATTTTTTAATTTTTGATTTTTATAGCTAATAATGGCGATTTCAAATATTTGGTTTTAAAATATTCAGCTAGGCCCGGATATTTTTTTAAAAAAGATTTTCAGGCCCAGCCAGGGTGTTTTTTAAAAAAATTTCGGGCCCGGCCCGGGTATGTTTAAAAAATTTAAATACGGTCCGGCTCGGGGGCCGGGCCTGAAAGTCTCTGAAAAACATACCTATGAAATACAACTTCTGAAAGTAGATTGAATGGTTTGGATCTTTTAAATATTCATAGGCACTTAACGCCAAGCAAGGATAGATAATTGAAAAATTAGCTCAAAACATGCAAAATACAATTATTCCTAAACTTTTTGTGTATTAATTTATATTTCCAACATTTAAATTTTTTATACTTTATATATTTTAAAGGCTCAAAAAATTCAAATTTCAATTTTAGGTCATTTAAGTGATTCATATCATGGTTATATTCACTTTATATTTTATAATTCACATTTATTTTATATTTTTTCAATGCCGGTTTATATATATATTTTTTGTAATTCACTTTAATTTAAAATTGTTTATTAGAAAAGTTATTAGTCATAATAATTTATACTTAGTAATTAACAATAATATTTCTTAAAAAATTTTATTATTCTTCTTCTTTCTTCTTCTCCTCCAGACCAAATTCCTGCGTACGTGCCTGCCTATTTTTTTAAAATCTTTACTAGAGTTTGCATCTATTATAACAATAAATTTTTTAGTCCCCAACCAGCTCTCTTCTTCTCCTTCTTCTTCTTATTATTATTACTATTATTATTCCTTCTTCTTGTCAAATCTTCAAATTTATATAATATTAAATATTGTTAAAAAATTTTAAATATCAAAAACAGAAAATTGGAAATGATCATAAATTTAAATCGACATTTATTTTTCTTCTCTCAATTTTTATTTATGTATAGCTATAGGATTAGTTAATTAATATGCATGTTTTTCAAGTTGGCCCGAGCACGGGTTTAGGAGATATAGCATTGTGATAATTGTCAAGTGTAAAAATTCTTAATAAATATTTGATAAATAATTAATTTGTAACAATAAAATTTGCACTTCTATTTAAAAAAATTAAATGCTTCAACCTTAACACATTTCCTTCAATATCCAATGTTGACCTTGAACTAGTGATCTGCATCAGACCTTATTTTTCAAGCCCGGCCCGAAATTTTTTTTAAAAAGTTTTGCCGGTCCGGCCTGAACTTGAAATTTTTTTTAAAAACATTTACCAGCCCGCCCAGACCGAATTTATTTAAATATAGAAATTAATTTTTATAATTACTCAAAATAAATGATATATGTTTTATGACGTCTAGTTTCTATAAATAAAATCTAATATTTTTATTTTACATTAAAAATTCAACATAAAATTGATAAATTTAGACATATTAAAAAAAAAATTTCCAAAGCCCGACCTGGCCCGGCCAGAATTTTTTAAAAAAATATTAGGCCCGGTCCAGCCCGCACCCGATTTCTTTTCAAAAAATAGGCGGGCCGGGTTTGGGCCGGGCCTACTTTTGCAGATCTCTACCTTGAACATCTAAATGATTTATTACGAATGGTAAAGACATCAATTAAGATTAAGGAAAAAGGTAGTGCTGTAAACATTTCTTAAAAAATTGAACAAAAATTGAACGCGTTTACGTTCGTTCAAAATTTTATGATAAATTTTTTTTAAAATTTAATTTAATATATTAGTAAATATCTTATATTTTTTAACACAATATATTGGCTTGTTAAAAAATAATATAGTTTTATTTTGATAATATAATTATAAATACAATATGAATAAAAAGAAATTTTTTTTCTTATTAATTTTTAATAATTGTTTTTCAAAATTTTCATCTATTAGACAGGACCTTTGGAAGTTAATACGGTATTAAACGCGCTCTACAGGGGTAGATGAGGGGATTGCGGTATTATACTTAATAAAGACTTTTAACGCGGGGAATTTATTAAAAACATTTATTGATTTGACCATTGCTTCAAAAAGTTTAGGTAAGTTATCTTCCTCCAATCCATCTTCTACTTCCTCGAAGGATATCTGAAAATTAACAGTTCTTCTTGCATCATTTTTAGGGTTTTCAAAGTATTTTTTCAATAAGGCTATAAGTTTATATTTTATAGGTTCGTTCTTTGAAAGTTATATCCATGGCCATTGAAGCTTAAATTCTGGATGTATAATTGCAGAAAGAACGTATTGATATTCATATATATGTTCAAATCTTTAAAAAAAATAAAATATATGTAAATTTGATAGTGATAGGTTTAATACCTTTTATTAATCCTATTTAATACTAAGTCTATGAATGGCTGACTATTTTAGGCCTCTAATTTTTTTAAACATTTTTTCTTCAAATTTAATGATTTTACTTAGTTATATTATATAAAATAATTAATAAATGTCGTTTTAAATTGTAACTTGTAGATTTTGAAACTGATATAATACTTTACATTTTACATTTGGTAAGTATTAAATTAGTTCCTTAAATATAGGATGTTACTTTAAAATATTTATCATATTTGGGCCATGGTAATGTTAATTCATTTGATTTTAAATTTTCAGAATCAGATGATGATGATGAATTAATGATGTCCATTCTTATGCTAATCTATTAAATTAAAATATAAATAATAATATTCAAATAAACTATAATAATGGCATGTTAAAAAAATTGAAATGTGAAAAGGATAAACAGCTAATTAAAAAATTTAAGAATTTTTTTCTTAAAAAATTTGGATTGATATTAAATCTTTCAAATAAATAAAAATAAAGTGTTTTTAAAATTGAACCAAGGTGAAATTCAAACGCGTTTCAAAAAAAAGGGGCGAGTTTACGTTCAAAGTTCATCAAATTAAGAGGAACGCCGTTCATCATTTTTTTCAAAAAAACGAACTTTGTTCATGAAAGCTTTCAAGATTAAGGATTCGTTTACAATACTAGAAAAAGGATACCTTATATTTTAAAAATTGAAAATCCAAGAAAAAATTAAGAAGGATGTTTTTGAAAATTTCTTCAGAATATAATACTAATATCAAAGATTAAATGTTAAATAAATATGCAATTGGGAAATAAATTTAAAAAAATAAGATATTGTCGGTTTTACTAAATTCTTCGGCTCTAAAAACAAGAAACATTTTCTGCGACTGAATTGATGGCAAGGATAGCAAAAAATTGGATAGATAAAAGGATGTTTTATCTGTCCAAATATTATAAAGCTTGAGAGTGTTTTTCAAGATTATATTTTAGATATTAGCGGTAAATTTTATAATTCCGCTAACAATCTTATAATGCCTGATAAAAACCATTTTTTAAAGGAGAGAAGTACCAATTGAAAAGACTCATTTCATGCAATCTTAAGGAATTATATTCTAATTTTAAAGAACTCACATTCATATGAAAGTACGCTTTAATAAATTCGCAGATTTTGGACCAATTTTTTTAATATTTATTTTATGCTTTTAAATGTTTTATTATTTTTATTTCAAAATTTAACAAAAATGTTCATTTTTTCCTGATGGTGCAGTAGCTCAATATAAGAACTTTAAAAAGTTTATAATCTAAACCATCATAAACTTGATTTTTGAATAAATATGAAATGATATTTCTTCATAATAGCCCATGGCAAATAACTCAAAGTTACCAGCACGAGCTACCCTTCAGAATATGAGAATCATTTCAACACCTTAGATTTATTTAAATTTTGTAAGGCATATATCACTGGAACGAATTCGCATATGGTTGATGAATATGAAAAAATATCTTGTTCCAAAGGCCTATCCAATGTTGCTAAAGTTTATAAGCGCTATTTTGCTACTTTCAATTTTATATAATAAATACACATAAAAAGTCTTAAAATATATTTATAATTAATATTAAAATCATAATCTTTTTATATTATTTAATTTTGAAATTTATTTAAAATCTGCATTATAAATCTAGTTTTCAAAATAATTAAAATTTAAAATGTCGAAGATAGAGATTCACCTTGAAGATAATTTTGATACAGATCATATCGACAAAGTAATTTCCCTGGAAAATGATAATAATATGGAATTTTTATTTATTATTTGTAAAGAAAATATTATAAAATAATATTAATTTTTATCATAGAAGATTAAAGAATAAAATTATTTAGAAATTTTAATAACGCAATATAATATTTACTTTTTATATAAATTTGGATTTTATTTGACTTTATTAACAATAAATAAATGATAATTCATGGCAAAAAAAATAATAAAACAAATAAAAATTTGTTACATTAATTAAAAATTGTATTTATTGCTAAGTTTGATAGTTTATATGCTTAAAAAATATATGGATGATAAATATTTTTGTAAAAACACAATTTTTAATAAAAAATTTATTAATTTTTAATTGCATAATTGTGAAAAATCGGATAATTGCAAAATTTTTAAATATATTTAGGTCAGCTTTCACAACGGTCTTGACAGTATTAACTTTTACTTATTTTTCTTTCAAAAAGGAGAAGAAAATTTCCCTGCCTCCTCCTGCTACTTATGTCTATAGGAGTAATACTATTTGGGTAAAAAGTTTAAAAAATAGTTTAAGGGATTGTTAGATAAATTTAAACGGATATCTTGACTGAAGTTATGATCAATTTAAGATTTTTTTCTATAATACAAACCATCTTAATAGAAAACTTGAGATGCCATTCTTTAGTAACAAAATATAATTATATTATTATGAAACATCATTCTTGAAATCAACAGCAACATTTATGAAATTAACTTAAATTATCATTCCTATGTAACAAAGTATCTAATAATATTATTATTATTAAAAACGATTAATGAAATTATTTAAAGATTTCATTCGTAATTATAACAATAAAAACTAATAAACTAACTTAATACATCATTTTACGAAGAAAATATTGTAACAAGTTATTTATTAAATTAATATTACTAAATATAAATAACTTGATCAAATGCTAACTTTCATACATTTATTTTAAATTAAAATGCTTCGATCAGTAAATTATAATAATCAGTTGTCAAAGTTCTATTTCAAGAAAGCAAAAGTTGCTTTTCCCTATAAATATAAGGTTTATTATTTATTATATATGTATATATATTTAAACTATAGAGACCATCTAAAACATTAAATTTACCTTCTGAGATAGCCACGGAATATTTTGATAGCATATATGGTTCATATTTTGGTAAACAATGGCCATCTATTAGGCTTGCTCTCTTTTCTATTCCAAAATATTCATTATTGTATAATAATTATTCTCACAATCAAACTACAATTTTAAATTTGAAGGAAGAAAGTGATGGTTCCTTAAAAAGTATTTGGGATATTTTAGATTTGCCAAATGAATTTTCTGTTAAATTGACTAATCAAAGTGACAAAGATATAGGTATTTAATAATTAATTACTATCTTAAACATTAAATAGAGGAATTAGATATTCAAGATGATAATAAAAATCAAGTTAAGAAATTTAATACCATACAACATAAAAAAATAAAATTGGATGATCATAGTGTAGATACATATGGCTTTAATTCATTAGATGAAGAAAAATTATCAAGATTGGTAGATTTTTCACACATACCTGCACAAGAGTTGGTTGATTTAGAAAAAGAAAGATATGATTACAATGCAGAAATAGATAATAATAGGAGCCTTCTTTCAACAGATATTGAAGAACTGGAAATTTTTCCTGAAAAATCAATTTATATTCCCAAAAATATTCAATTTTATTTTTATGATAAAAATGAGAATATACAAAATAATATATATAAACCTTTTCCACCCTCACCGATGACTAATAAAGGCCTCATAGGTTTAGTTTTTAAAGTATTTTTTTTAATTTATAGTTATTTTTATATTAATTACTTATAATATAATAACAAATTTGATAAAAATAGAATCAATATATAATAGCATTTTAAATTTAAAATAATCTTTTTATAATGCTAACTAGTTTATCTATTTACTACTTATTGCATGCCATATGTTTAATTTTGAAATCTAAAAGATATATTATCCACCTTTACACCTTATTTATAGTAAATGTGATTTGTACAAGTGGTGCAGTATTTAATGATATCAAAACCACAACTGATTCTTCATATCAATGATAATTTTTGAAATAAAAATAGGGATAATTATTTACATATTATTTCAACCTTTTTTATCAAATTTCACAACTATTTTTATAATCACATTACATTTTATCACCATATCACAACATATGTTTCTTAAATTTTATCATAGAGTTTTTATTATTTGCTTCATATTTATCAAATTTTCATTTTATAAATAATGCAAGTACCACTTAAACAATTCGTGTTTATGCCCATAAATAGATATAATTTTTAAATATAGAGCAAAACAATCAAAATTCTATGATTAAATTTAAAAAACATATATTGTGTACAATGATAAAATATTTGGGATATGATTATAAAAATAATTGCGAAATTCGATAAAAGGTTATATAATATTTCTTAAATATTCTATAAAATATTTAATTACTTTAAATAATGTTAACACAATGAAGAATCAGCTGTTAATTTGTTAGTCTTACAGTGAAACGATACACATGTTTAAATATACTATAAAAGGGGGTAAACAAAATAAGATTTTATTTTTAATAGAATAAAGATTGAAATTAAATATGGACAAGCAATTAATTAAGAAGATTAATAGTTGATTAATCATTATAAAAAGAAATGTGTTACATATATCTAATTTGTGATGAAAAATGAATTTTTTTTTTATTTTCTTTGAGAATGCTCAAGTAAGATATTTGATTAAATTTCATTTAAAATTCTAAATCATTTTTTGTAAAAAGTCTTTTTAATATTTGAAAATATTTTAGAATTTCTTAAATGTAATCTATTTTGTATATCCATTTATTTCGATAAAAATATGATAACACTATAAACTTTTATAATAATTTCGATTAAATAATTAATACATAAAAAATATAATTATAATTTATCAAACATTTGTTGTTTTTCCGGCATTGATAACATTTTGGTAACTATATCTAATTTTTCTTTATTCCAATATTTGTATATTCTTTTTGGTCTTTGAATTCTCGACGAAGATTGGGAGTTTTCATTTAAATTGGAAAAATTAGTATTACTATTGGATAATAAAGATTCTATATTAAGCATTTTTTTTTATTATTTAAGAAAAATTAAAAATAATTAATATGTAAGTATTTTAATTTTTTATTTTGAATTAAATTTTAACACATTTTTTTATAATGATTAATCAACTATATTAATCTTCTTAATTAATTGCTTGTCCATATTTAATTTCAATCTTTATTCTATTAAAAATAAAATCTTATTTTGTTTACCCCCTTTTATAGTATATTTAAACATGTGTATCGTTTCACTGTAATAATAGATTTGCAGCCAGTATAAAAATATGGTTGTTCAATTATAGTTTGACGTTTTAATGATAATTAAATCTATAGTAAAGCTAGACTATGTGTCACACCAAATCCTTTCCATTTTATTACCATGTGTAATTTGTCATGCGGGTGTTAGAATTAATACAACCATAAATGTGTTAAAATGTTATACAGTGAAACGATACACATGTTTAAATATACTATAAAAGGGGGTAAACAAAATAAGATTTTATTTTTAATAGAATAAAGATTGAAATTAAATATGGACAAGCAATTAATTAAGAAGATTAATATAGTTGATTAATCATTATAAAAAAAATGTGTTAAAATTTAATTCAAAATAAAAAATTAAAATACTTACATATTAATTATTTTTAATTTTTCTTAAATAATAAAAAAAAATGCTTAATATAGAATCTTTATTATCCAATAGTAATACTAATTTTTCCAATTTAAATGAAAACTCCCAATCTTCGTCGAGAATTCAAAGACCAAAAAGAATATACAAATATTGGAATAAAGAAAAATTAGATATAGTTACCAAAATGTTATCAATGCCGGAAAAACAACAAATGTTTGATAAATTATAATTATATTTTTTATGTATTAATTATTTAATCGAAATTATTATAAAAGTTTATAGTGTTATCATATTTTTATCGAAATAAATGGATATACAAAATAGATTACATTTAAGAAATTCTAAAATATTTTCAAATATTAAAAAGACTTTTTACAAAAAATGATTTAGAATTTTAAATGAAATTTAATCAAATATCTTACTTGAGCATTCTCAAAGAAAATAAAAAAAAAATTCATTTTTCATCACAAATTAGATATATGTAACACATTTCTTTTTATAATGATTAATCAACTATTAATCTTCTTAATTAATTGCTTGTCCATATTTAATTTCAATCTTTATTCTATTAAAAATAAAATCTTATTTTGTTTACCCCCTTTTATAGTATATTTAAACATGTGTATCGTTTCACTGTATATAACACATGCTTGAACTTAACATACTAATTATAATTTTAGTGTAACATTTATAAAATTTTAATTTTATAATCTAAAACTTTTCTTTTACAGTGAAAGAGGGTATTTTGTAAAACTCATGTTATAAAGAAATAAAATTATCCCATTATATTCTTCATTTTGTGATACTTTTAGAAAATTCTATATTTAAGGTTAAATTTTTTAAAAGCCAAATTTTTACTTTACATATTATGTAATTCATAATTTATTATTATATATTTGGTGGATGATATATTTTTAATTAAAGTATAAAAGATATTGTAATAGATTTCATGTTAGCAAATCAATTTACCATTTACCCTTCACTACAAAGGTGGAAAAACTCCTTACAAAAGTTGGGTCTATTTTACCCCAAATTTTGATTAGCTATATTTCAGAACATATTAAAATTTGAGATTTTAAATTTTTAATGTATATTAAAAAAAAATATTGATAATAAATACAAAATTTTATTAATATTTACTTCCAAAAAGTAATGCAAATTTTCCTAAAGCTGCTGAAATAAAATTTTTTGGGAGGACCTTCCTTATAGTATTATCACCAAAAAAATTTAAAAAATGAAAATTTTATTAAATCAATGTTGAATAATGATAATTACATAAATTTTATAAAAAAAATATTAATCATCAAATATCATGTAAATTTTTTTGTAACACTCATGACAAAATATGTGCATATGATCTTTACAAATTAATTTTGAACAATTTAAACAAATAAATGTTGTTTTTTATCCTTCACCCTTGGACACTCATAACATCTTCCCTTTTTATTTGATGGAATATGTTTTTCATCATTCATATAGATAACATCCCCATTGTTGTTACATAATAATTTACATATACGAGGTTCTCATATCTGCTGATCATATATGGAGTTATGAGTTCCATTGCTAAAATTTTATAAATTTGGATCTTTTTTATTCAATAAATTATTAACTTTATAAACTATCAGTGGGGTCAATGACCACCTATTAGAAAGAAAGAAAAACTTTTTCTTTCTGGATATAGAATATATTGAGCAAAGTTGATCAACATCAATTCCAGTTTTTGTTAAATGATAAAACATTATAATTTCTGGTTTTTTCAACTTACCAGTTGATGCATCAATTTTGTTATCATAATATAGCGTAGAAAACAACACTACATTCTACTTTTTTGGTATGTATGAAAGTTCAGTTTTATTTTCTCTAAATGCAAATAAACTTAAGTTTATATCGCTTTTTTTATCAAGAAAGCAGGTACCTGCTTTTTATTTACTTTTTATAGTTCCCACTAAGGTTAAGGAATATGAATTTAATATATGATTGGCTAATTCATAGCTTGTAAACTAATTGTCAGTTGTAATATTTCTATTAGTCCTTAAAATTGGTTGAATAAGTCTTTCAACTGCATCAAATGGCTTGTTTGACAATTTGTAAGGTCTTTCTGACTGATTGCCAGTCAAAGTCCTAGAATCCACTAGAGCATAGATTTTAAGACCATATTTCGATGGTTTATTTGATATTGCCTGAATAGACATTTGCCTCTATGTAGGAAGGATTTCATCAATATTAACATATTGTCTAATAGCATAAGAATTATTGCAATTATCAATAAACTTTCTCTAATATGTGTGGCATTATCATTTGCTTTCCTTGTATTCATATCATCGAATCTTAGAATTTTCAATATAAATTGTAAACTATTTATATTCATGGTATATATAAATTTATTTACACCAAATCCATCCTTATTCCATAAATCTCTTATATTTTGATGATTGGATTTATAAACACCAGCTATCATTAGCAAACCAATCAGGGCATTAAATTCACTTTCATCCATTTTAGCATGAATAGTCATCTTTTTTGAAGGGCTTCAATCTTTTGATTTGTTAATAATAGCCGAATTAAATAATTTAAAGCTTTCTAATGGTGATTTTGCTTTTTTGCATGTGATTTAATTCCTGGCAAACAAGAAATTATATATGGGATCTCGTTCTTTTTTAGGAAGGCATTTATTCCATTTGGTTTTGCCATCTTTACCTTAATATTTTTATATAACTTATTAAAGGCTAGCTACTGTAACAATATTTATAGTTATCTTCACACTCATCACTATCTATATTGTTGTCATATAAATAATCATCATTTCACCTATATAAAATATTATAAATAATAGAAAATTCTTCCAGAACTTGATGATATTATTTTCCATATGCTCGTTTTATAGTATTTTGCTCCACAAGAAAAAAATATAGTATAAAATTTTAAAATTTTGGGTTATAATATAACAATGAAATTAAAAATAAATTTTTTTTTTCAATTTTATATATTAGTTTGTAATATACAATTAATTAATAATAAAAAATTTGGGGGAAAAAAATTACGTGGAGACAAAGGTGGGACCTATACTATCCCAAGCTCAAAAAATTGCAAATATTTAAAAAAAATATTGAATCAATTATCTTGAAATTTGATAGATATATTCTTTATAACAAAATATTAAACTACTATAAGGACCAGAGTTGTTAAACGCTATTTTTAAAAGTAGCGCGCTACCGCTATAGCTATTTTTCAAAAAAGTAGCGCGCTACCGCTTTCGCTATTTGTCAAAAAAAGTAGCGCGCTATTAGCTACTTTTTTTCAAAAGTAGCTTTATCTACTTTTAAGCTACTTTTTATAAAAAAAAATTTAGGAACAAATGAAACAAATTTTTTTTATTTTTTTTTTGCTTATAATGTAAATGTATAATAAAATAAAAATCAACATTTATAAATATAAAAATATAGTTAGTTTAGATTATAAAAAAATAAGCAATATAAATAAATATTTATTTTAATTTGTTGCATTTTAATAATAATATCATTTCAATATTATCATCCCCAAGTCTAGAGCGACGATCAGTAAGTATAAGCTTTGCTTTACTAAATAATCTCTCGACACTAGCACTTGAGGGCAAGGGGGTATTTAATTTTATATATAAATTTTTAATATATGAAAAATTATCAAAAATATTCATTTCAATATTTTTTGATTGAAAAAAAAGATCAATTGGATTTTCTATTAAATCATCTTTAATTTCAAAAAAATTATTTGAGGATGTCTTCGTGGTAGATACTCGGCAATCTATGTTTGTTGGAGTAAGATTATTCAGCTTCGCCATTAGCCTATCGCGTTGATGTTTGGCATCATCGGAATTTATATATGGCCAGTTTAGTTTAAACTTTGGATGAACCATTGCCGCTAAGACATTGTCATCATTATATAAGTTTGGAAATCTAAAAGTTACAAAAATAGAGTATTTTAAATATATCTTAATCATAAAATTTTATAATTTTTTTAGCTTTAAACATTAATTTAGAATAAATCTTCAGTCAAAACAAAACAATATAAATTTTATTTACCTTCTCTCAATGCCTTTTAACAGAGAGTCTACTAGGGGCTGGCATAAGATTAGATTATTCAATCTCTTTAATTTGGTATTTAGGATACTTAAAGTGGGAACATAATACCCCATCTCCATATTATCCTCACCTTCCAAAATTTCAAGGGAAACAGCAACATATTGCATAACCTAAAAAATTAAAATGATATGGAAATGAATCATTATTAATTAGAATTACTTCTGTATACTCTTTTATAAAAGTATGCTCTTCATCGTTAATATATTCAATTTCAACAAGATCACAGAGATAATTAATCTCTAATCTTCTTTCCTCCAGAAAAAAAGCGATTAGTTTTATTGCTTGGTATACAGAATTCCATCTTGTACGATTAGGGGTTAATAAATACCTCCCTAATTTTTTTTTAAACATGTCAGAACTTTTAGGAGATTTGTTCTGCTTATTCCATAAAGTTTGACATTTATAAAATGTCGATCTTGACACCCTTTTAAAATCTTCATCATTTAAAGCTCCTTTAGCATCTACTGTTGCTATCAAATTTAAATTATGACAGGAGCATCTATGATGGCTGGGTAACATTGTGGAGTTAGTTGAAGATCCTATAGAATATTGATTAGATTAACATGTATTATAAAATAATTTAAACCTTCTTCTAAGATCTCATTAATATCATTGGCATCAACACCTATTTCCTCCTCTTCCAATACATGTTGACTATCATTCTGTATCTCATCTTCAGCATTATCCTCACCAAATATTCTATATTCATATTAAATAGGACAAATTAAATTATTCATCCAATTTTTATAGAAATAAATGTCTAGTAATATTTATCAAAAATGGAGTGGAAAAATCATTTCTTAGTATTCTAAATTTTGAACCTCAGCAATTATAATGTAACTAAGCAAAAAATATTTTATCAAATGAATTCCCTGTACTGTGTATTATATTTTATATTTAATTATTTTAGCAAGTTCTTATTAAAGGAAATATTTAAGCTACAATTGATATATAATATTAGATAATTTTAAAAAATTATAATAAGGTAGAATTTAACTTTATTAGTTACTTTTATTTATTTATGATATAAATAAAATTACATTACAGTATTTATTTACGGAATTTAATTAAAAATGCATTAAAGAAAATTGCTATGTAATTAACAATTAAATAATATAATGTTGTACATTATTTTCATATTTTTATATATAATTAATAATTTTGCAAGAAATATATAAAAAAAATATGAAAAAAGATTTAAATGATATTTATATTTATATACTATATATGATATTACAAATGCAAGAATTAATAAGTCATATTAGAAAATAAAACTAATTAAAAAATACATAAATATCACAAACAAGTAATGATAAATACTAATTAAAGATAATGAATAAAATAAAATTAGTATATTTTTTTAGAGATGCCATTTATCCATATACTCCTAATATAAGCTATATTTAAAACAACACAGAAAATAACCTGCAAATTCTAATAAATCATTTGATTTAATTTTTTTTCTTATTTGCACATTTTTTACTCCCATTAAATATACTACTCTCCCTTCCCTGTTTAAGCTATTAATGGGCAAAAATTAATATTATTAATCCCTGGTTATTATGATTAATTCATCAATAAATAATTTATTAATTATTTATTATGATTAATTCATCAATAAATAATTTATTAATTATTGCAAATATTCATTCTTATATGTGTATGCTATGTTCTTCACAAATAAATAATAAACTTTGTATTTTATAAACTATTCTAATTTAATTGGTAATGATAATTTAAAAGTATCTTGTATTTAAGTTACTCTAATTTAGTAAAAGATACAATAATCTTTTATCTTGTATCTTTTTGATTATTTGAAAAAGATACTATCTGTATCTAAGATTCATTTTTTTAAAAAGAATCTGTATCTGTATCTAGATTCTTTTTCTGGAGGACCTGCCGAACTCTGTCAATAACCATATCTTATTAAATGTTAGATTAGCTCAATGACACTGTACAATAAAAATTAATGCAATAATCCACCTCTCTTTTATATTTTATTAGTTAATTTCACTAATTTTATTTATAATTTGATATAAATTATGATAATCATAATATTACTAAAATATGTGTGTATTTAGTTAATAAAAATTCTATAAATAATGTGAAATATTAAATACTAAATATTTTATAGATTAAATAATAACCCTTCCATTCTGATAAAAATCATAACTTAAAATAAATATTATAAATAAATTTGTAATATAACCTAAATGCCTTCAGGTAATTAGACCCATTATCAGTAACCATCTTGCAAACTTTATTATGAATCCTAAAAGACTTGTGGATGTTAATAATTTTATTTGCAAGTACGTCATATGTCTGGCATCCTATAATCCTTTTAAGGGCTAAGGCTACAGATCTTCTTTTTAAAGTTATAGGATCTAACCAATGGCCTGTGATTCCCAAATAAGCTCTGAAAATATTTAATCAGATCAATTTATAAATATAAATAAGTTTTTACCTTCTGTTATGTGTCCAACTATCTGCCGTGGTACATACATAAGATATATCTGATAACTCTACTATTAGGGCATCTTTCATCACTTTGAAGTTGTCGGCTATTTTATTCATAAGTGTCTGGCGACATAAAACTGTTGTGCCAGGGGATAAAGTTTTAATCATTATAGTAAATGATGGATTATCAACCAAAGACACTGGCTGAACTGTGTCAATAATAAAATCAAAAATAACTTTATCAGCCAATTTTTGTGAAATATTGGCATGTTTATTATCAGTTAATTTGGTTTGGATAGTATTTGTCTTTTTTAATGAAGATTCTCCTAGACCAAAATTTTTTATATGTTTCTCTATTTCCTTATAGCAATTGGCGTGAACAGTCTAATAAAATAAATAATATTATAATGTAAAACTAACAATTTACCTTTAGGTGTTTCTTCAGGTTATAGCTACTCGATTGATTTGATGATATATTTTTTTTACATTTTAAGCACAGGAATTTGAATCCAGATTTTGTTTTAATATTTATTTTAAAAAATTTTTCAAATTTAGGGAATGGAAAAACGTTATTAGAGCTATTAAGTACATTATCTTCCATTGAATCTTCCATGTCTGAATCACTTTCAAGGATTTGGATATCCATGGACGATGCCATTTTAGATTATTAACACAGATTGAAAATATAAATTAAAAATTGAAAATATATTTAAATTTCAAAATTAAATAATAAATTATAATTAATTATGATATTATATTTAAATTTTCATGTTTATACTTACATTCATTATATTTTTTAAAAGTAGCGAAGTAGCGCGCTAAAAAATTAAATAATTTTAAAAAAAGTAGCGGCTATTAGCTATAGCTACCAAAAAAGATAGCGCGCTACTTTAACAACTCTGATAAGGACTAGGTCAAAATATCTTCAGGTTTTTTTTATTACCAAGATTATAAAAGCCGGGGTATTATTTACCCCACCTTTGTAGTGAAGGGTTAATTAGTTATAACAATATATGCAATCACCTTACAATATTTATCGTAGCTATTAAATCTTATATCTGGATCAGAGATCTGCAAGGTATGGCCTATTAAGATGCATGATCAGAATTTTTGTCAAAAATTTTGAGCAAACAATCTTTAAACTTAAACTAGTAATGTATAATTTTTTAGAATATTATATCATGGATGCCTCCTCCATAATACCCGTTTTAGCTTTAGAAATCAGGCCTAAAAATGATATCCTAGACATGTGTGCTGCTCCTGGAGGAAAAGCTTTAGCTGCCATCCAAACGTTGAATTTTGGTTTTATAATGCTTTATGTTCTTATTCTTATAAGTAGAACTGTTGATACACAAAATTATAATTAAATTTTTCACCAATTCTATATTTACCCAAAATCAATCCATTAACTAGTATTGGGTACTGGATTAATTTTTGAGTCAATATCAAATTGATAAGAACGAATAGGCACAGTATTCACTTATAAAAACTTACCCCTCATTCATAGTTACCGCTAATTTTTGGTGAATTATGCATGCTGTATTTTTGTATTCTTCGCCACAAATTCCATCTAGCTGAATGAGAGGTTATTATTATAAATAAAAATGTTATAAATAAATTACCTTTAAGGTTTAAATATTATCTCTCATTTGTTAATTAAGTTTAATATATATTATTTCTCAAAGTAAATTCTAAAAAGGGATGATTAGTTGTCCCCTTGTAACTCAGTAGTTTTATCATAAAAGAGTTGAATCACACCCCCGATTGGGTCATTCCATGTCAAATCAATCACTTCCGACCCCTTTCGATTTTGATGAAAAATCGTAGGCTGGTTATATATGTTCCCATTAGATTAGAAACAAAATTTTAGCGGATTAGCAACTATATTAGCGGAGATATTCGGGGTTAAAGGTCTAAAAAACGTCTTTTTTTGCTTTTTACTGATGTTAAATAACTAGTTTTTAATTTTAAACTAAATATGATCAAATATTGAATATAATATCAATAGCTAAGTTAATAATTTATGATTATGGCAAAAACATCAAAATTAATTTTTGATAAAATATGGGTCATCTTATGGTCAGTTGAAAACTTGAAAATAATATTTCGAAATGTATATGATCTCCGATTTTTAATTTTTTTAAGAAATATTATTCGTTTACTATTTTTTTAATAATTTCTTCAACAATTAGCATGGCTGGATATTTATTTTAAAATTTATTGCGATTTTTATACTTTAAAAAAAATAGATGGCGCTATATATAATAGTTTTAATATGTTAAAATTCATTTTTTTATTGATTAAAAATATTTTAATGTATATATATCATACTAAATCGATTACAATGTCCATTATATATATTTATTTGTAATTCAGATCATAAATTTTTAAAATCTTCACAAATTTAGCCTAATTAAGATAGTTTATAAATTAATTAAATCTTACTTCATCTAAAGGAACACAAAGCCTGGCTAGCTTATGAGATTTCTTCAGAAGATAATATATATGTTCGACCGGTGGGAGTAGAAGGATTGACCAGTGAAAGAATATGAGATTTAGGTAACACTAAAATATCTTTCAGGGGAAATTTAAATGAGGCTGAAGGTCCACAAGGGTGTAAAAATCGGATTTTTACTTCTTCATTTGTATCATATTTATCGATTATATATCCTAACCACCATTTATCATCATATACACATGTTACATATCCATTAATATTTTTAAATATAATTTTTTCATTTAAAAACGAAACTTGTTTTATATTATATTTTTTAGAATTTGAATATATTTTGGTTTTTAGTCTATTTTGATCAATGGGAATAACCCAGTGAATTTTTAAGGTCCCATGTATGGGCAGCGCAGAATTAAATCTTTTGCGAAGGGCTATTTCCCCTTCGATATATTCTTGATTGGATATATATTCAAATTGAATTCCATTAATATTTTCTTTAGCATAATTATATAATTCTAATGGGGTTAGGATTTGATTTTTATTTGGTTTTTGAAGACTAGCTCTGGCAACTAATCTTTTGAAAGTTCCCCCGATACCGTCACATGCATTTTTGCCGTGAGCAGTGGCAAAGAAATGCCATTCGGCAGGAATATTAAAATCGTATTTATGAAGACATATGTTCAGAAAATTTTTGCGATTCTTGTATTGAGACGCGGCTCCATCTGAAAAATATATTATTTTTTCTGGTTTAGAATTAAATTTGGCTGTTAAGAAATTAATAAATTTTTTTTGGTAAAGGTGGACTGCACTAGTATTATGGTTTAATGATTCGGATATAATAACAAAATTTATATTTTTTAAATCTTCTCCAGATTTATAATATGCTACAAATGGATGTTTAGTGGCCTGCACGTTGTTCCAATGAAATCCCTGAACTTCATCTTGTAAAATGAAGGAATAATTTTCAGAATAATCTAGAATTGTTAAAAATTCCCCATCTTTTAAATTTTCTTTGGAATTCTTCAAAAATAAACTTTGTTGTTTAGCTATAAACGAGTGACGCAGTAAAATTTGAACTTTTTCTAATAAATAATCGATGAAATCATCAACGGACTTTATAATAGTTTCAAGATTTGTTCTATCCACCGTGATCCATTGTTTAAGTGACATATTCTATACGATTTCTCTGAAACAATTGGTATAATTGTCCCTTAAGAGATTCTATACCAGGGCATTGATCACAATTTGTTAAATAACATTTTGGCTGAGATGGATTACAAATAATTTGCGCCAATAGATAGTTGTAAGAATTTATACAGTAATCTTCTCCTGCTGTAATTTCAGCTATTACATTTGTCATTAATTTCACATTCTGATGAATAGCGCAGACACAAACAGTGTGTGTGCCACTAGCTCCAACTAAATACAGTTTTTTGGTCTAAGTTCGGCAAATTTAGAGAATCCTATTGATATATTTGGGTATTCTTCCTTAAACATCTTGAATATTTCTTTAAGATTATTTAATATAAGTCTTTTTTGAACTGGTTCTTTCTCGCCTTTAACAGATACACAATCTTTTATTCCTGGCATGAGTCGGCTTATTTCATCAGAACTATAAAAATCCTTGACGAGTTTAAATGTTTTTTCGTTTAGTGTCTTTCCTGCCTTATGTTTTGGAAATGAAAGAATTCCACTTTCTTTTACCATCATTTTAGATTTTCTTGCCATGTATGATGTTACGTTGAATTCCTTTTGAATTTTATTTACACTCCATCTTTGAGGCAAAATTGTAAGAATTTGATATTGTTGATTTTTTGATAATTTATCAAAGTTATCCTTTAATATAATAAGAATTTCCTCTTTCATTGGACTATCAATCTCGGAATCAGATATTTCTAAAACCTTAATCTTTATTGCTTTTTCAATCTTTTGAATTTTATTTTTAGGATATTTTTTCTCCATTAAACGTTTTCTTTTAATTGGTGATTCTCCAATATTGTGTAATGTTTCATTAATCGATTCAAAGGCATCCTGATTATGGGTTATTGGGGATATAAATTCTTCGGGAATGTGTGGACCAATTTTACTTAACTGGTATCGGCACGAATTACATATTTTTTGTTGAAGATATAAATGATTATTTATATTAAGCATCCATGGAAGAACTGATCTTAAATTTTTTTTAAAATTTTTATGATTCACTTTATTGTGGATTGCAACATTTTATCTTATCTTTTAAGGGTTTCATTTAAAAAAATTTATTTATTTTTAAACGACAAGTAAAAATATTTATATATAAAAGATATGAATCGGTGTTTGTGAAAAAATATTAAAGAAATCAATTTGTATTTTTAGCAACTGTGATTTATCGATTAAATTCGCTAATTAATTTTGCTAATCAGTTTATTTTTAATAATTTTAAGAAAAGATAAAAACAGCTGACTTACTTTTATTAATTTTTTCAGTGTTAAACATATGCTCAAAATTCAAAGACTTTGATCAAAAATTTTATAGAGAATGCTCAAATTCATTTGATACCCAAAATTTTATAACTAGTTAATTTTTTGTTAATTATATCGCTTAAAATTTTTTTAAAAATCTTTGAAATTTTCTGGTTAATGACAATTTTATAACATTCTTGGTCTTGATGGGTATGACTTAGTCTGGAGGGGGGGATGGGGGGTAGGCCGGGTAATTATATGATTTTCGATTTTTCCCTTAATAATTTTCCTGCACTCCTTTAATACTGCTTTTTTGTTCGCATGTTAGTCGGATTTTTTAATTATTTTTAATTTACATTGAAATATTAAAAAAATTATTAAAATTTTTTATCCTGCGAATATCTCAGGGGAATAAGGTTTACAAAGTTATATAATCGAATTTTATGATATATTCTACATTAAAATATTTTTAATCAATAAAAAAATAAATTTTAACATATTAAAACTATTATATATAGCGCCATCTATTTTTTTTAAAGTATAAAAATCGCATAATTTTTTAAAATAAATATCCAGCCATGCTAATTGTTGAAGAAATTATTAAAAAAATAGTAAACGGATAATATTTCTTAAAAAAATTAAAAATCAGAGATCATATACATTTCGAAATATTAATTTCAAGTTTTCAACTGACCATAAGATGACCCATATTTTATAAAAGATTAATTTTGATGTTTTCGCCATAATCATAAATTATTAACTTAGCTATTGATATTAGATTCAATATTTGATCATATTTAGTTTTAAATTAAAAACTAATTATTTGACATCAGTAAAAAGCAAAAAAAGACGTTTTTTGGACCTTTAACCCCGATTATCTCGGCTAATATAGTTGCTAATGCGCTAAAATTTTGTTTATAATCTAATGGGAACATATATAACCAGTCTACAACTTTTTATCGAAATTGAAAGGGGTCGGCCGAAAATCTTGATTTTTTTGCTCATTTGACATGGAATAACCCGATTATAGTATTTGTATAGTTATGAGTAATACAAGAGAAAAGAGAAGAAAAGAAGGCTATTTTTTCTAAATACAAAATAATAATTATTTAATTAGTTAGGGTTTCCATTTAGCTAGTGAAATTTTTTTTTAAAATACTAATATTTAATTATTTACTAATTTTCCTATTATGAGAAATATCTAGTTAAATTTTATATAAGTTATAATTATTTATAATTAATATTTAAACAACCTTAATATACCTTATTACTTTATAACTGACTAAAATTGGAACTAATAATATCCGTGAAGTATCTTAATACCTATACTTAAAAAAAATTTGTTTTCTCTCAATCAGTTCTCATTTAAATAAAAGTAATATCATTTCTTAAAATAAGTTCCTTCAAGAGATATTAATTATATAGAAGCTGAATAACATTTCTTAAAATACTAGGAGTTAAATAATATGAGCTTTCTTAATATAACTTAATATATCATATTAAATACTGACTAATATATATAAATTGAATATTATTTATTAAGTGCTAACAGTTAAAAATATTGGAAGGCTTTAAAATATCTATAAAAATAATATTGTATATAAACTATTTCATTAACAAAATTTTTTTTATTTAGTTTACCTTATCGACAGATGTTCATATATAAGTCTTAGAATTTTTTTTTAAGTTTTCATAATTAGCAGAAGCTCCCTTAATGAATTCCAGGAAATATATATCTCTGCTAATGATCTAGTTAACTTGCCGACCCAACTGTTTTTATAGGTTAAGAAGGGTTTGAGGTAGAGATATGCAACTCGGGCCTAATATTTTTTTAAAAATTTCGGGCTGGGTCGGGTCTGGCCTTGGAAATTTAATCAAATATATTTAGATTTATCAATTTTATACTGAATTTTTTATGTAAAATGAAAATATTTGATTTTATTTATAGAACTAGACGCCATATAACATATTTTTTATTTTGATATAAAAATTAATTTCTACATTTAAATAAAATCAAGCCGGGGTCGGTAAATTTTTTTAAAAAAAAATTTAGGGTTCGGGCTGGCTGGGAAAACTTTTTTTTAAAAAATTTCTAGCCGGGCTTAAAAAATTATGCCCGATGCAGATCACTAGTTTGAAGTTTGACTCCTCAGGGGATATTTTAAAAAGTGCATCATATATTATATTTTTAGAAGCTTGTCTCATGAAACGACCTACTAGTTCTATTTTTCTGTATTTTACCACTATAAATTGGGAGTGTGTCGCATCTGGACCAAAGAATATATAATTGTATTATGTGGGAAGAAGGTTTTGGTTATATATCTAAAGCATTTATTAACAAAGGTTTTTATCTTATTTTTATCATGTTTAGTATCACTCCAAGTTTCGATACCATAATACAAAGAAGTAAGTATTAGAACTTTGAATAGACGGACTTTAATGATTGATATTTGATTTGATGACCATATTTTATTAAAGACCTTTATTTTAATCTAGCATTATTTAATTTGGCTATTATATCCTGTTTAGTATTTCCCTTCCAGTTTAATATTACTCCTAAATATTTTAAATGTTGAACTTCTGCAATCAACTTCCCTTGAATCGTTATATTCACATGTGAAGGGGTGACTGATGAGGTCATCATCTTAGTTTTATTAATATTTGTTTCTAACCCAAAGAATCTAGCTTCATCGATAATATTATCAACTAATAATTGAAGGTGTAATGCTGATTCTCCCACCATACAAAAATTATCTGCAAATGCCAGAATATTAAGGTTCCCAGGGGACATCTGAACAGCACAAAATGTTTTGGCTTTCTTTATGATATAATTAGTATAAAGTTAAATAGAATGGGAGATAAAACACATCCCTGTTTCAAATCCAATTTTTATTGGGATTTTCGGGGATTTCTTCTCTGCATGAATTAGGTGGACCAAGTAGTTTTTATAAATAATTTTTATAATATTTATCAGATGTGTTGGTGTGCCTACCTCCTCCAAGACCTTCCACAAACTAGCATATATAATGGAAAATATATGAAGCACTCTTTAAAATATCCCCTGAGAAGTCAACCCTCAAAACCTTCCTAACCTAAAAAAACATTTGGTTCAGCAAGATAACTAGATCATTATCGGAGATAGGTATTTCCTGGGAATTCATTAAGCGAGCTTCTGCTAATTATGAAAACTTAAAAAAAAATTCTTAGAATTATCTATAAACATCTGTCGAATGACTGTTAATGTAAACTAAATATATAAAAAAAAAATTTATTAATGAAATAGTCTATATCCAATATTATTCCTTATAGATATTTTAAATAAGCCTTCCAATATTTTTAACTGTTAGTACCTAATAAATAATATTCAATTTATATATTAGTCAGATTTAATATAATATTTTAAGTTATATTAAGAAAGCTCTCCAATATTATTTAACTCCTAGTATTTTAAGAAATGATATTCAGTTCTATATAATTTATGTCTCATAAAGGAACATATTTTAAGAAATGATATTACTTTTATTTAAATGAGAACTGATTAAGAGAAACCCATTTTTTTTTAATATTAAGATATTTCATGAATATTATTAGTTCCAATTTTAGTCAAGATAAGGTATATTAAAGTTATTTAAATATAAATTATAAATTTATAACTTAAATAAGATTTAACTAGATATTTCTCATAATAGGAAAATTACTAAATAATTAAATACTAGTAAATTTTTAAAGAAAAATTTCAATAGCTTAATGGAAGCCCTAACTAATTAAATAATTACTATTTTGTATTTAGAAGAAATAGCCTTCTTTTCTTCTCTTTTCTTCCTATCTTTTCACTTATATTACTCATAACTCTACAAATACTATAATCGGATAGGGTGTAGTTCAACTCTTTTATGATAAAACTACTGAGTTACAAGGTTTGTTGGTATCCTTGAGAAAAAAAATCGGCATAATTATATGGAGGGCTGGCCTCCATGTTATTCACGTTCGCTCACTTTGGGCAGGTCAATGACCAACGTGCTTGATATGATATGATATATCGAGAGCATATGTTTTTTAATATACCATAGCAAAAGTTTACTTTAAAAATATATCATTTTAAAGAATAAATTTTGTAGTATTTGATGCAAGATATCTTATATCCGTTATTATTAATTTGTCAGAATTTTAATGTTTTTTTTATTGAAAAAAAAAGAAACAATAACTTGCATAGAAAAGTCAACATCACGATACAACAGACTATGCAAAGTTTTTGAAACATATTTACCTAAGGGACAAAAATTTCGTAGTAGGATAAAGACTATAAATGCGGACGCTATGCACGAAAAGTCTTTTAGAAACTCATTTGACAGGGTATTTTAATATATATATATGATGCGAAGCGCATCGCGTATACTATAAACTGGACAGTTATATTTTGCAAGGCATTTTTTCATATATATTTTTTAGCTTTTATGTTTATTTTAATTTTAAATCAAATATTCCTTTTATTACTACTATCAAATAAAATTATATTAAAATTAACATATCAAATATAAAATAAAATAAAACATTATTTTATAAAAACGGATGTGGGACTACAAGTTCCCAAAAAACATGAATAGTTATATTTTAAAATGTTATTTGTAGATTTTGTTTTAAAAAATAGTATTCTTTTGGTTCTGATATAAGGGCTCTTATCTTATCGCCTATATTTTTTAAGAATTTTAAAGATCCGCTTGGCATATGTCCAAGGTAAGAGATAACGATTGTTATAAAAATATAATTTGTGAATTTGGAATATTTCATTGTTTTTTCTCGGCTATATCAACCAAATTAGAATTTAAATTTTTTGGAAAAGAAGATACGCATGTGAAGTCCCAAATTAAGGATTTCTAAAGACCAAGGCACGGAATTTAAGCCATCATCTAATGATAAATTTTTAGGCTCCAGGATGTTTGGTATTCGGGCCCTGGTAAGATAACGGCTAATAGCTAAATTAATTGCTGCATGCCTTGCATGCCTACCTTGACTATATATACAATTTAGACTATGTCTCCCTTTGGAGTCAACTAATATTTTACATTTGATGCATGTATGTGGTTGAACAATGTTACATCCAAGTCGATGCCCTATGGCAACTCTTAATTGTTCATCTGATAAGAGGTTACCTAGGTTACGACTTGGTAATGCTTCCAACCGTTCATAATCAATTGTGAGAAACCCCAATTAAAATCTTCCAATTTAATATTTAAAATATTTTTTAATAAACTTTTAAAAAATTCTTGAACACGATTAATAATTTATTATTTAAAAAAGGAAGAAGATCTAAAAATATGTAAAATCTTTCGTAAATTTTAATTAGTTTTTAAGTCATTAACATTACCATTTAATTGAATATCATTGCCTTAAATAATATTCATTTTTCCTAAGGTTATGATTATGTTTTAAACATGTATAGTTAAATATTATATAATCCCTTCATACAAATTGTGCAATGTGTTATTTGACTCCTTAAAATAGTGACATATTTTTTTTAAGGTTCTGGTTGATGTTCCCTGCACAAGCGATAGAAAATCGGTTAAAAGTGACGACGACAACATTTTTCATAAAAACAGATTTAAGGAAAGAGCACTTCTACCTCAAATTCAAACGGATCTATTAGTGTTTACATAATTTTTTATATATACCATAATTTGATATTTTTTATTAGCATAGTAAGGGTTGGGCAGTATTTCAAATACTTGTTACAAAAATATGAATCAAATCCATTATTTTCATTATTCATATTCATATTCTTCTTTTCGAATCGAATAATTTTTCATATTGCAAATAATAAAAACATTATTCGATATGATTCGTTGAATATTCTATTTGAAAATTAAATTCTTTAAAAATATGTTTCAAAAATGAATAAATTTTTAAAAAAATTTGAATGAATCTTAGAAATTTATGATTTCATCTTGAAAGATTTCATTTTACATGAAAATTATAAAGAGTTTACTTATAAAAGATTTTTTGCTATTCATATTTGGAATTTTAGATAAAATTTGATCAAAAATCTTTCTTAATTTAAAAAAAAATAAACTTTTCCACATAGAAGAATATTTACATATTATTTTAAATATTTATGAGTAGGTTTTATTATTTAGCTTCGAATAATATCGAAAAAGTTGATAAATTTTGAATAATATGAAAAAATAAAATAATAGGAATAATTTTGAAATTATTCGATGAATAATATATTTTCCTTATTCATAATTGATTCGAAATTAGAATCGAATAATTTTGTTATTCGTAAAATACGAATAAAATTGAATCTCAAATAACAAATTTCGTTTTAGGTATAAATGGCGCAGCCAAGATTGATCCATGGGGGAAGGAGTGAAAATTTTTTGAGTTGGCTGAACAATTTGAAGTACTGATTCTAAAATATATCAATGTTTTGTACTTAACTCTGATTTGCTTTTAACCAGATAGTAGCCAGCATAATTGAAAAAAATTTGGCCAGCCTTACGATTAGAGAGCCACTGAAAGCATTATTCTAAAATTTTATTAAAGAGGTCTGCATTGGGCAGGTTTTTGGACCATAAGCCCGTCTACCCAATTTTTAAAATAATTTAACCCGCCCGCCCAGCCCGCCCATAGTTTTCAAAAAAATATACACGCCCGTTCTACCATTAGTCTAAAAATTTTTACCCGCCCACCCATTATTTATAAAAATTTAATTATGGCCATTCTTTCAATTTTTTAAGCATAAAAAAATTCAGCATTACACCTCTACAAAAAGTTTTTAGGAAATTACTATTAAGCATAAAAAAATATTCAATTTAAATTATGGATAATTTATTTGATCAAATAAAATATTTATGAAAATAATATAAATATAAAATTGATATTAAATTAATAATGCAAAAATAATAATGAATCGACATTTTCTGGATTCAAAGACGTTCTTCTTTGTTCTAAAAACCTTCCAGCAATGCTAAATCCTCGTTCAGAAGAAGCACTAGTTGCAGGAATTGCCAGTATTTTTCTTGCTATTCTTGTCGTTTCCACCAAAGTAGTTTTATATATACAAAAAAGTTTATTTATTTTAGGAAAAATGATTTTATGATACCAAAAAAGGACATTTTAATTATCCAATAGATCATAGAAACAATTTTTTATTAATATTTACTTAAATGAATTAAATTTTTTTTAACCCGCCCGCCCATCGTTTAAATTTAAACCGCTCACCCAACCGCCCAAAGTTTAAAATTTTTTTTAACCCGCTTGCCTGTCCGTTTTTAAAAAATTTTTTGCCTTCTAATGCAGACCTCTAATGTATAGTGCTTAATTGAAAATTATTTTAATCCGTTTGGTAGACAGCAGAAATAAAAAAATTGCCATTATCTTAGAATAAAAATATTTAAAAAAATATATCTGGAGTGCGCTAAAATTTAGTACCTGACTAGTACCTTTAATTCCTCAACCATATTTGAGAGCCACAACGAAACAGAGTTCTAAACAAATTCAAAACTATCACGTCGCGCTTTAAACATGAAATTAGTCAAGTTTTTGGAAAAATCTGAAACTTATACCAGACCATTTGGTAAGGGGAATGAATTATTGGTTAAAAATTATCAAAATTAGCATCATACCATAATGGAGAATATAAAAGTTATAACGATCTAGTTTACGTTAACATTTGATGCCTTTACTAATTCTTTAAATGATTTCGCCAGGAACAAAATTGTAATCAAGTACAAACTATGATATAACGCCTTAAGAGTGAAGTCATCCAATGATATTAAAGCATTATCTCTGATATTTATGTAAATTAATAGTGCGTGCGTATTTAATATATTTTAGTGCTTAAACCCCTTTGTTAGATAGTTTAAAAAAAACATTATTGGCAAAATAGAAATAGATTGTCATGATTGACATTATGTTAGGAGGAAAACATTGAATAATATATAAGGCATGATTACTACTTATAATTCATCAATCAGTATTTCCAATCAATAAATAAAAACCAGTTATAAGCGAAATTAAAATTACAGCACGCCTTAGGATAACCTCAAAATATCTCATTTTAAATTTCGAATCAAAAAACAGTTAGTTTTTCCCCTATTCAAAATAATTTTGAAACTTATGATTCTACGATCTTTTTAGATGTTACTTGTTTTTTACAGTTTATTTAATAGATTTAACAATATAAATTCTATTAAATTTATAATAGTTTTTTAAAAAAATCGGGGGTTTAACCCCAACCACCCTTTGTCTACGGCACGGTCTGTATTTAAAATACAAATACCTTTTTTTATAAAATATTTATTTGAATAATTTAAAAAATATTTAGTGTGATGAACCTGTTATGATGATTTAATGAAACATATTGACGATTAAATTCAAACCCATTCATATAAAATGATAATATTTGCAAAAATAATTAAAATATAGACAAAGCATTATTGAAATTTCTTTTATTATTTCTTTTGTTGTACACATGTAAAGATTATAATTATATATGCATGTGTTTTAATTAAATCGTCAATATATTTCATTAAATCATCACACTATATATATTAATTAGGAAGTTTTGTTGTTTATGAGGAAATAGTTATTTTCTCGATATTACATGTTTTTTAATATGTTGTTATTTTTTTTATCGCGATAATTATTTTTATCTTTATTACTTTGTTTAGTCATTTTTATTGTCGCAATTAAGATTTTGTTTTGGAAATAGTGAATATAAAAATTTTTTATGTGATGTGATATACTTTTAAATGAATTATATTATTAATCAAATTATATTTAATTGATATAAGAGGAAAAAACGAAATAAATTATTAGTATTTTTTTTCTTTCAAATTTATTTTGCTTGTTACTCTTTTTGTGAGTATTCTACTTTTATATTGTTTTTTTGTCTATAATGTTTTCCATTTAGTAAAATAAAGAATATAGGAAAATTAAAATTAAAATAAAGATTAGATATAAATATAACTAAAGGGAAGTTAAGAGAATATAAACCTAAGAAAAATCACCTATTCCTTCAAAATAAAATATTTAATATATAAATTTATATTTTAAATATTTAAAAATAAATCGTTTTTGTTTATTACTATTTTAAATAAATAAATAAATACAAATACTTTTAATTCAATTTTTTTTTATAATTTATTATAAATTGAATCACTCATGTAAAATCCACAATTTATTTATTTGAAATTAATCTTGTGATTCAAGTTAGAAAAATAAATTCAAGATCATATTTATCCTTTTTTATTTAAATGAGCGATATTCATACAGACAATAATAAAATTTTTTGAAGATGATTTAGAAATAGAAAATATTGATTTGATTCCTATTCCACAGATTAATTTATTTTTTTTATTAAGACATTATAATGTTTATAAAATATTTTAAGAGTCTCTACAATTCATTTAACCAAATTAGAGGAAAGTACGTCAAAGTATCTTCCTAAATAAATAATAAGATGAAAACGCAATGCAATCTAGGCATAAATATAGCAGCTTGCATCCTTCAATTTTATACTCCATCTTAAATAATATATAAATAATTATATCTTAATCTTATCATTTATTTCTCTCTAATTAAATGTAATTTTTATTAGTCAAATATGTGGTAAGAGAGATTTAAAATATGTACGAAATGAAATCCGTTAATGTAAATATAATATTCCAATTTATTGTCTGACTCATTTATATAATATTTATAAATAATGCATGTTGAAATACTTATTTTATTTCGTATTATAGACGTTCTTACTATATGATAGATAATAAATTTATATCAGAGCCAAACATAGTTAGGCTCTGTTTGGTTCAAAAAAACGATTTCCAAAAGTATTTGCATTTTTTTTGTAGTTTAAAAAATATATATTTAAACACATTAGTTTGAAAATCTGCACCGGCCTGAAGACAATTATACTCAATAGATGCATAATTACAAATTTAACCTATCGATTATCTTAACCCCAAGTCTCTTAGACTTCTAATTAATTAGAAACATCAATATGTGTTTATTTTTTTATCCGTTTTAAATGAACGATTTTTTTTAAAAAACAAGCGAAGGGATTAGAAATTTAAAGCCCGGCGGCAAATTGGTTTACAGCACCTGTACCTTATCTCCATCTCAAAATGACGCCATCATACGATCCGCCTATTACAGCTTATCCCGCCTTGAACCCGACATCAAAATTAGAGTTATCGACTGTTCAACCCTTTGTCAATTACTTCAAACCAACTTTTCCTTTTACAAGCCTAATAGTGCCTCACCGCAAAATTGTTTGGTGGATCATTTAAATCCAGACAACGATAATAGTAATATTAACTCCTCCAAGGAAAACAAGAAAAATTTGGGACATCTCATAATACCTTCATTGGATATGAATTGGGGTCCTCTATATTTTTGTAAAATCGAACGTATTAAATAACCCTATCTATAATTTTAATTATACGAAATGGGTTTAGATTATGTATAATAAAATATAGATACACGCTTTTGGCTCTAATTTTATCTGGTTTTAAATTATTCTGTTGTGCCTGAAATTTACTGGCAAAAAAAATATTAAATCCATCTTAAAATTTAAAATTTTGTTTGGTCGTATAACCATAAATTTATTGAATAATATACATAATATTAGCGAATTTGTTCTAAATAATATAAATTATAATTATATTTGTTATATTATTTTTGAATTTGTCACCCTTCGAAATGGTAATTATTTAAAAGTATAATTTATATTTGGTTACAAAAGTAAATATGTTGTATTCCATATCAAATCAACTGCAGATTCAACCCGACCCTCTTCGATTTTTTTTAAAATTTGCATGATGGTAGTATATACACTAACTAGCAATAATATAAAATTTCAATTCTCAACTCAGCTTACTTCATGAGATATGGCCATCTTTAGAAACGCGAAAAGTTCAAAATACACCATATTTAATTTTAAATATCTCAAAAAGTAATTAAGCTAAAGGTATAATTTAAACTTTATTAAATAACTCTAGAATAGCCCTTTAATATGATATAAAATTTATTATATTAAAAATAATTTTATTACCAAAAACCGGAAATGGTTATAAAATAAAAATTGCCCTTTTTTTCTTTCAAAATTTTTTAACAAATAGACATTATATACCTTAATATTTGTACAAAATCCTAGATTGGGAGCATTACTGGACCAATAGTTATTACGCATTAAATATAAATAGTATGGCTTAAATTCTATATTATACGAAATGATAGTTATTTTTTTAACAAAAGTGATAATATTTGTGAATAATAGTAATAAAACTGAAATACAAACCCCATCTTAAGATTTATATTCGCCCCCCCCCCCCAAAAAAAAAAAATTCCTTCTTAAATTCGAGATTTTTGACCTGGCAATTCTATGAGTGAATTATGTAGATTATTTTCTTTGCCGGATAAAAAATTATCTTTGTGATCGTCAGAAATATATTTTCATAAAGAATTTTTTTTACTTATAATTATCAAATAAAATAATTATAAAAATCAAATTCAATTCCAACAGCAGCAGCCGTCATTTTTATTGATTAATTTTATAAAGCCATTTTTCTAAGAAAATTAAATTATCGGTATTCATTATGCAATTTATTTAATTTAAAATAATTATATAAAATTAATAGTTATCTTTTATTCCTTACCAAAAAAATTTAAATGTCTAGAAAAATTATTTCTATTCCAGTAAAGTGCTGTAATCCCTTTAGAATAAAATCTCATTCAGTACGTTACGATCTTAGAAATGTTTTACAATGGATGATAGAAGTGAATTCTAGCTTATCAATTAATAAAAAATTTGTAGCTCTTGCCGGAAAAAATTAAAAAAATATTCAACATATCTGATCTCACCTTTTACTTCTACGATCCCGATCACATTACCTTCTATTTCTAACTTACCTTCTACCTCAACTATTAATGAAACATTTAGCGATTCTGAACCTGATCAACCATGCAATAATCCCGACTCTTATACAGATTTTAATACTTCAATTTCAACTTTAAATGAAACTTTGCCATTTTTAGGGGAGACACCTATTAAAAAGAAAAGGTTAAATGAAAAAAAATATCCTGTAAATAAATTTTTGAAAATTCAGGGAAAAATTAAAAAAGTTTTTAAAATAAATCTAGAGGATCAAGCAAAAAAAGATGAAGCCGAAATCATAAATCAACTGAAGGAAAAATTTGCTACAAGTTCTCGCAATGAAAAAATACAAATTTTAACAGTTTTACCAAAATCTTGGACTCTTGATAAAATTGAAAAGGAATTTTCAACCACAAATTTTATGACCCGGACAGCTAAACAATTAGTTGAAGAAAAGGGTGTTTTGTCAAACCTAAATATCATAAAACCAAGTAGAATAATTTCGGATGACATTGCAAATAAAGCAATAGAATTTTATTATTCTGACGAAAACAGCAGACTTATGCCAGGTACGAATAATTTTATATCAATGAAAGTTAATGGAAAAAGGAACCAAGTACAAAAGAGATTAGTTTTGTGTAATATAAAAGAATTATTTACCAATTTTAAAGAAATAAACAGTAATATAAAGATAGGTTTCAGCAAGTTTGCTCTCATGAGACCAAAAAACTGTATTTTAGCAGGCAGGTCTGGAACGCATGCAATGTGCATCTGTACATTTCATCAAAATTTTAAATTAATTATAATTGGGGGTAAATTAATCAGTTAACTGTAAACCAGCATAACTATCCATTTCCTCCCTTAAAAGATTATAAACATTACATTGCACAAAGTCTATGCAATCCAGCCCAACCTTGCTGTTACTTAAAGAAATGCCAAATGTGTCCCGGCACTTTGGAACTTAAAGAAAGATTACATTTATTGTTTGATAATAATGCCATAGATTATATAACATTTAAACAATGGTTGGCGGCAGACCGTACCACCCTCGAAACGTTAACTAAGTCCGCCAGCGAATTTGTGGAGTATTTGATTGAAAAATTAAATGTTTTAATTCCTCATGCATTTATTTCTTCGGAACAATCTTCATTTTTTAAGTCATTAAAATCGAATTTGAAGGATGGGGAATACCTAATAATATCCGATTTTGCAGAGAACTACGCTTTTGTAGTTCAAGATCACACTCAAGGCTTCCATTGGACTAATAATCAGGCAACACTTCATCCATTTATGATTTTTTACTGCGAAAGCGGTACCATTAAACATATAAGTTACGTAGTTATATCAGATTGTCTAAAACACAATACTTGTTCCTTATTTATTTCAAACAAATTCAATTCTTGAAAGCAAGATTTGATAAGATTTCAATAATTTATTATTTTTCTGATGGAGCCGTTACCCAGTATAAGAACAAAAAAAACTTTGTAAACCTCTACAACCATTATAATGATTTTTGGATCAAGGCAGAATGCCATTTTTTTGCAACTGCACATGGCAAAACTCCTTGCGATAGTTTAGGGGAATTACAAAGAGGTTGGCTGCTAGAGCAAGCCTGCAACGTCCTTATGAAAATCATATATTAACTCCTAATGATTTATATAATTATGCGAGAATTAATATCCCGGGTATTAATTATACATTTGTCAGCAACGTTGAATATTTAAGAATGGAAACCAATCTCGAAAATAGATTTTTAACGGCCAAACTAATTCCCGGGACACAAAAATATCATTCATTTATTCCAATGGAAGGAAAAATGAAAGTCAAACGTTATTCTAATTCATTAGATAATTTAATGTATGATATTATTTAATTTAATATGTTTATAACAATATTAATTTTCCATTTGATATTCATGTAATATAAATAATTAGCTAAATAAAGTTATAAATATTTTTACAATTATTTTCTCTCTAAAATAAAATCGCTAAACTTATATGTTAAATATGACATAATGTCTACTAGTGGGCTCACAGCCCGAAACATTTATAAAAAAAATATAATCGGCCCGATCATAAAGGAATTTTCTTTTTATTTGTTTCGTAAATTACTATATATTTGGTATAATTTAGGATTTAAGCCTTACTATTTATATTTAAAGCGTAATAACTATTGGCCCAGTAATGCTCCCAATCTAAAATTTTGTACAAATATTAAGAAGTATAATGTCTATTTGTAAAAAAAATTTGAAAGAAAAAAAAAGAGCAATTTTTATTTTATAGCTATTTCCGGTTTTCTATTTCCGGTTTTTGGTAATAGAATTTTTATTAATAAAATAATTTTTATATCATATTAAAGGGCTATTCTAGAGCTATTTAATAAAATTTAAATTATGCCTTCACCTTAATTACTTTTTGAGATATTTAAAATTAAATATACTGTATTTTGGAATTTTCGCGTTTCTAAAGATGGCCATATCTCATGAAGTAAGCCGATTTGAAAAGTAAAATTTTACATTTTTATTAGTTAGTGTATATACTACCAACATACAAATTTTTAAAAAAATCGAAGGGGGTCGGGTTGAGAATCGACTTTTTTTGGTTGATTTAATATGGAATACAACATATGCTTTAATATTTATTTGGCAAAAAAAATATTTATATTTTATAGTTTGGTTTTTTAAAATGTAAATAACTGACATAAGGGTAATTATTTACCTGAGGAGATTTAAAATATTTTCTATAAACTCAATATTTGTATGCATAAATAAATTCGATTTTGTTTAATAATTCGTGAACATTTAATAACCGATTTTTAAAAAAAAATTAAAATCATTTATGACGGAAGTAGAATCCAATTTCCGGTAATATTGTCAGGATTAGTCGAATCTGGCCTTAATCCATAATCATATTTACCACAAAATCCAGGTTTAATAGGTCTAACATCAATTCCTCGTCTAATTTTTACATTTAATAAAAGTATAAATTCATTCATTATTTATAGGGTGTGATAAATAATGAATTAATTCTTTCTCTTTTAAACTTAAAATTTTATCCTTATAATTAGTGAAATTTAGAGTTTTAAAATTAAAAACTAAACATTTTAACAAAAAAATTAATTTTTTAAATTTTAGACTTATGTATTTATTTTATTTTGAATCCATGGCATGTAAAATTTAATTTTAAACTTGAGTCAAACAATTAAAAAATAGTCTTCAATAAATGATTTAGATTATTTGTAAAAAAAACCAAATAATTCTTGAAAAATATAAAGGTTATATATGTCCAAAATTTTTTCTAAAAAATTCAAAAAGTTATAAAATTTTCTTGAATTATTTTTTGGACATGTTTTAATTTTATATTTAAAAAAAAGCATTTCTTCTTTTTGATATAGTTTTGAAATCAGCAGATCGATTTTTTGTATATTTTGGATACTGTCTAAAGAACAAAAAAAAAATTATTTTTTAATTCAAAACCAAAGTTTACTCTTCAATATTTCCAGCCATCCTCGATATTTAATTAAATTTATGGAGTATAATATAAAGTTTTTTTTACCTAGTCATTCGGCATCTTTGCTCCCCTAATCTTAGTTCCGCATTATCAATGTTGTTAACTCTCCTTGGACTCCATAATCTTTCAGCGACAGCCGATGCTCTAGGCCTAGTAAAAAAAATTGCACAACTTTACATTTGTTTTCTTATGTTTACTTTATTACATTAACTATCGGCAATCTGATAATAAACCTTAATGAAGAGCAGGCTCAATTATTTATATATTATTAAAAAAGATTTTCCGCTACGTTTGAAGTAAAATGTCGCGGCTTATTGCCCGATAACCCTATTTAAAATATGTATTTGTATATGATATAAATATAATGTTTTTTTTTAAAAAAAGTTGAATTTAAAATAATCGAAACCAAATAGTTTCCAAGATTGAAGACCCGTCAATATATTCTGACCACATACAAGCTTCTCCCCCAATAATCGGCGAAGTTAAAAAAGATTCCAAGTCTTTGAATAATTTTGATTTAAAAAAAAACTAATTTGAATATCGTTGTTTAAAAAAAGGAAATCAATTTATTTTAACTAATGCTGTAGTCGTTGCTTTTTTAAAAAAGTATTGCCGCGTTCAACCAATTTTTATATAAATAAAGATATTTTTAAATAATAAAAAATAAATAGCTACGTTATTACTTGCATAAATACCCATAGACATTTCCGGTTCATACGTGTAAAATCTTTTCCAATCTTCTTTACGATATTCTTCATCTAAATACCAAGGTGCTGATATTATTAACTTGTGACCCAATAATGCGTATTGCTGAATTTTGTGAGCTAGCGATACTTCGAATCCCCAATTCTTCCAAACTTGAAGTATTATATCTTTGGGCAACTATTTTTAATATATTAATTATTTAAAATATGAATCTGGGGGGGGGGGGGGGGGGTGCTCTGTTTTGACCTTAAATATTTTTTAAAGTATCTTTTTTTAAACTGATATTTTCAAAATGACGTCTTTTTATTCGGGTTCAGGAATTTTAAACTTTATTTAAGGAAATTTTGATAGCGGGAACTTAATTGAAAACCCATTTTCTAAACGAGGTCCGAACCATCGTCGGGTTGTATGGGTTGCCTAAATCAGTCTGAGGTCTCAAAATTTCCAACCAAGCAATTTTAAATTTTTGAACCCCAATTCGTAGTGTTGTTAATCGACTGAGTCGAGTCGACTTAGTCGAAAACTGAGTCTAAGTTTTGGGTCGAAAAAATCGACCCAAACTGACTTGAGTTATGAACTCGAGTCGTGAACTCAAGTCGACTCAAGTTGTGAACTCAGTCGTGAACTCAAGTCGACTCAGTTGTGAACTCAAGTCGTGAACTCAAATCTATATACTTGAGTCGACTAGAGGACGAATATTTTTATAAACTTGAGTCGTTGACTAGAGGACGAATATTTCAAATTAATTATTATTAATTAAGATATTTGTTTATTACTTTTTTTTATTTTAGACTTCCAACTTGAGTTGCAAATAACGTAAATGGGCTAAAATAAGCATTGCTAACATGTTTAAATAATATTTTAGTGGAGATGTACCATAGATAAGTGACATTTGTCATAATCGTTGTTTTTAAAGTTTTTCGAATTTTTTTGACGTAAATGGGCTAAAATAAGCATTGCTAACATGTTTAAATAAAATTTAAGTGAAGATGTACCCTAGATAAGTGACAATTGTCATAATCGTTGTTTTTAAAGTTTTTCGAATTTTTTTGACGTAAATGGGCTAAAATAAGCATTGCTAACATGTTTAAATAAAATTTAAGTGAAGATGTACCCTAGATAAGTGACAATTGTCATAATCGTTGTTTTTAAAGTTTTTCGAATTTTTTTGACGTAAATGGGCTAAAATAAGCATTGCTAACATGTTTAAATAAAATTTTAGAGAAGATGTACCCTAGATAAGTGACAATTGTCATAATCGTTGTTTTTAAAGTTTTTCGAATTTTTTTGACGTAAATGGGCTAAAATAAGCATTGCTAACATGTTTAAATAAAATTTAAGTGAAGATGTACCCTAGATAAGTGACAATTGTCATAATCGTTGTTTTTAAAGTTTTTCGAATTTTTTTGACGTAAATGGGCTAAAATAAGCATTGCTAACATGTTTAAATAAAATTTTAGTGAAGTTGTACCCTGGATAAGTGACAATTGTCATAATCGTTGTTTTTAAAGTTTTTCGAATTTTTTTGACGTAAATGGGCTAAAATAAGCATTGCTAACATGTTTAAATAAAAATTTATTGAAGATGTACTAAGAAAATCATAATATTTTTTTTATTTTTGTCAATTTTTCTTTAACTTTTATTTATTTTAGTTATTCCTTTTTAATTTATTTCTATTTTTTTATTAATATTTATGTCAAACTTTTTTTTAATGCGACAATTGTCATATGCGTTATTTTTTAAGATTTTTGAAATTTTTGGACACAAAAGGATTATAATATAATTTATTTTGTAAAGATATTATATTATAAATTCAATGAAGATGTTCCCTGGAAAAATGATAATTATAATAGGTAGGTATTTTTAAACATATAAGATTTTTTTGTGACGCTAATGGGCAAAAAGTTGTTTCTTTTAGCTAAATAGGCTAAAGTAAATATTGCAAACATTTAAATAAAACTTCAGTGAAGATGTTCCCTGAAAAAGTGACAATTGTCATAATCGTTATTTTTAAAGTTTTTACGCAAATGGGCATAAATATAGAATGCTAACATGTTAAATTAAAAATTATGAAGATGTACCCTAAATAAATTCTAATGACAATTGTCATAATCGTTATTTTTATTTTCAATATTTTTAATTTTTTTAGCCTAAATAGGCTAAAATAGGTATTGCAAACATTTAAATAAAACTTCAGTGAAGATGTACCCTAGAAAAGTGACAATTGTCTTTTGGCGCCAATTTTTATTATTTTTTGATAGCCCTTTAGAGAATATTTTTACTTACAATATGATATATAATTAGTTTTTGAGATATAAGCATTTTAAAAATTTTACAGATTTGAGCCCCTATATCTCAAGAACCAGGTGTTATAGCGAGCTAAAATAAACGGCTTTCTCATTTATTTACCCTTCTAAATAATTCCAGAAAAAAAATGAAATAAAGGCGTGGATAAAATTTATTTTAAACTATTTTATATAATTATTTTTACTTTTTGCAAAGTCCTGTATGATACATTTTTTATATTTTATATTTATTTTATAAACAGACAAAGTTAGATCATGTTTTTTTTCAAATAATATTTTATTTTTTGTTTATTTACATAAAAATATAAAAAATTCTTTGAATCTCCTACAAAAATAAGAATCAAATCATATATTTACATAATTCTTGTTTTCGAATCGAATAATTATATTATTCGTATTAGTACGAATTAAATAATTCCTTATTCGTATCGGTTCGAATAATGAAAACATTATTGGATTTGATTCATCGAATATTCGATGCCAAAAATTAAATTCTTCAAAAATATATTCAAAAATGATATTAAAAATTAATAAGTGATTTATAGATGTTGAAAAAAAAAGTAAAAACTTTTCAAGGAACATTTAAATACTTAAGAATCATGTCAAATACTTCTGGGTTTGAAAATTTCTGAATAATTTGAAATATTAACAAATAATTTGGAATATTTATTTACGAATAATTTCTAATATTTATAAATTATTTCAAATAATAAGAATAATTCGATCGAATAATAAATAGATAAAAAAAAATATTCCACAGATAATATATTTTCTTTATTCGATTCGAATAAAATAATTTTTTTATTCATAAAATACGAATCTTATGAAATAAAATCGTATAGTGAATAATTCGTTTTAGGTATAATTTTATTTTTTGTTAAATTTTACTCAATTTTCTACAAAAGAAAATGATGAAATTAAAGTTCGAATCAAATATACTAATACAGAATTTTATTTAAAAAAAATAGTTTCTCGTTTTAGAATCATAAAGACCCCAGTATTGTCGTAATTTTTAATAGGATCAGAACTATCCGGGATCATCGCGGGTTTTTAAGGGATCCCTTTATACAAAGAATTATTTTAAAGAAAATATAATCAAATATGTTCATTTGAAATGATATTTTTTTTGATTTTATACAATTTGTGAAACCTTAGATAAAAGCTGTTAAAAAGCTTATAATCTTATATTAAATAGATTTTTACCACATATCTTCAAATTATTATATAAATTACACAATATTTATTTATTTTGTAAACATAAAATAACTTTTTAACATAATACAATAAATTAGATACAATATAGATAATAAATGAAATATTTTATATTATATCTCTAACATCCCAGTTATTAAGGCACATACAATATTTAACGGTTGTCCCCGACATCCTATTCCGTTTCTTCGTTAAAAAATCAACGGCCTTGCTAAAGACTCTTTCACTAGGAACGCTTGTTGTTTGTTGTGCGAAGAAATCTTTAGCTATGAGCGACAACGTTGGGTAAAAATCACTATTTTTGGCCCACCAATCAAGTATATTGGTTGAAGCTGGTGCAACCGGTTCTTTGATGTAATCTATAAATTCATCTCTACTGAGATCTGGATATTCATAAGCCTCCCTAAAAATTATAAATTAATATATCAAACATTTATAATTACTTTCTCATTTCGTTATGCATGCAAACCGAATAGGGCTGTGTTTCCATATCATCTTTTGAGAAGTCATAAACATTCGCTTTTTGCGATGGCCAACCATAGCTTTTATATAATGATTTAAATTTTTCATTATAATCCTCCTTTGCTATAAATTTAGGCATATATTTTAATTTAGTTTTAGGATCTAATAGTGTAGATACAAAATTGCTAAATGAACTCATCAAATTTTTATAAGTTGCACATTTTATCAACATTTTACTAGCCGCATTTTTAAGATCGCTATCGGGATGATTTTTCGAAGTTTCGTCTAAAATCTGCTCTATCTTTGTCATAAATAAAACTGAGGTTCCAATAGTAGAAGTATCTGACGATATTTCAAGTGTTATTTTATAAAAAGGTTTTAAAAAATTTTCAATTTCGTTTAAAGATCTCGCCTCACTATCATTTATATCGAAAGGCGCCATATATTTTTTCCCAAGGTCTTTAATTGCATCTAAATTCTATATAAATTAAATATATTATTATGCAATGTTATATCTCTAAAATTTCAAAATTGTAAAACTATTATTTGAATATTATTGAATAAAATAATTATATTATGGTTTAAAAGGTAGGGAAGACTGGGATTTGTAAAAAAATGGTTCGACTAGACCTAGTTCCCTTTATATATAGTCAAAATTTTGTAAAATTAATTACCATTGACCATATATCTTTTAGTAGAATATAAAAGACATTATAAAAAAATTATATTATAATTTACTTTGTTCACTGTTGATAGCATTATATATTTTGAGTTCCATCTGGTTATCACATCCAACGGAATCCTCGTTCCACCAGATAGCTGCATGTATTTTTGTAACAGTTTGGGGGAAGAATGTAGTTTCTTTACAACATCAGTTATTTTAATTAGCTTTTTGTCTAGGTATGAAAATCCCTCTTTTACTATCAAATTTATAACATGTGCTAAACATCAGTGGCTGTATACGCCTGTTTTATATTTTTCCTGATAAATTGTATTCATTTTTTCAACAGCTTTTATTACGTTTAGTGCATTATCATGCGTGATTGAGATAATTTTGTCCTGAATCTCAAAATCATCCAGAGATTCTAATAAACATTGTGATATATCCTCACCACTATGAGGATATGGTAACTCAATTAAATCTAAAAGGAAACTTTCCATTTTTTATTTATATAATGGCATGTTATTGCGCAAAAC